TTGAGAAAATGAAATTAAAACAAAGAAAAAAAAACTATGAATGAGAAATTTGTAAAGAATATTGTCTCAAGAGTATAGATACAATGAATAATTTACATTCATCATATACATACTTATGGATTAACTATAATTAGGAGTAACAAATGAGATGATTATGTATATAGGAAATGAATTACTTAAAATTAGTAGTCGACAACTGTTTTATTCGTTTTATGTACTTACCCTGTATCATCGGAATCGACACGTTTTACTTTCCACCATAGACATGTATCATCAAGTAATATAAGACGTTCATTTTTAGTAATTGTTAATTCATGACTATCTTGTGAATTATAGTTGAATTTTGCAACTACAATTTCACCACCATCTAAACAAAAACTATGTTTCTCTCTCTATATATATATTTTTTAATTAATTATACTTACTAGTACTATTATTATTTTGTTGCATATTGGTAGTAATATTGACGGCATTCCATCTACAATAAATATCGTGCATTGACATCTAATTCTTTCTTTATTATAGAGATGTATCGCGAAGAGAAAGAGAAAAGAGAAAGTGGGACTGTCAATTTTTTTTTTTTTTTATACAATGCTGTTTTTATCTGCGTAGGCATAGAGCGAACGAACAGTTTCTTTTTTTTTAAATACTTTTCAAACAATTATAAAAAAGAGGAGAGAAAAAAACCAGCATCAGCACATAGTTTATGGTTGAATGCATGATGCCACTCAAAAAAAAAAAAAAAAAAAAAAAATGACTTGACATAATGGGTTACCAGGCTCTCCCTTTATATGCTTGTTATACAAAAATCAGTACAATCCCATATATGTATTCTTTATCGTTCGTTTCTTTTTTTTTCTCCTTGCCTAGGTATAGTGTATAATGGATCAAATTTTTTCTTTTCTCTTCTTCTTCTTCTTCTTTTATCCAAATGTTCATATAAAGAAAGAGAAGACCTTGACAAAAAAAACATCCGAGTTAATTTTGCTATTTCAGGTGATCAACACGTTTTTTTTTATGAATGAATGCAAGCATCTTGATTATAACAATAATAATCATATATGATGGATGAATGATTCGAAATATCTATCAACAACTATTTCTGCTATCATCGAAGGACATTCTTTATTCAACACAATGAAATAAACATAACCTGACACTATCTTTCATAAAGAACAATGTTAACTGTTACATCATTCATTTCCAGATATCAAAATAATGATGAAGAAACAAAAAAAAAAAAAGAACATCTATGTAATAAAATATATTAGTTTCCTATTAACACTACTATTATTAACTTTTATGATTAAGATGAAAATATAGAGGTGAGAAGAGAAAGAAAACAAAAAAAAAGAAAGAAAAGAACAACTAGCGAAAATAAAAGATATGCTGATAATTATTTGAACATATTCATTTGTCGTTTAATTGTGATATGAGAATAAATTATCTCTCGCGAGGCTTCTTCACTAATGATATACACATTTATAAACAAAAACGACTTTTACTAGTGAATTATTGTTGTGGACAACCTCGATATAGAAGAGATGAATGGGCAAGAATAACAATGTAAGAAAATAACCGTGAAATAAAAATTGTCAACGATCGATTCCCTTTGACTATATCATTTATCTTATTCATAGTACAAGACAATTGTACAAAAAAGAAAAAAAAAAGAAGAAAAAAAAAAGAGAACAACCACATAACGCTTATCATCCTATTATAACACAGATCAGGATTAATCGAATGCACTAATATCAAAAAAACACTATGTACAATTATGCAAAAATGACGGTTGGAGGATAAAGAATATTAATAGAAAATAAAACAAATGTAAACAAAAAACATAATAAATTTCTATAATATATATTTACCAGATTTGATGAATGTTCTTTCAATTTTGATTTATCCAATTAATAGAGACAATAAAAAACATACATTATCTTACACCTTCGAAATAAATATATACATAATACAATCGACAAGCATACAGGGTCAAATCAAATATGAGTTACTATACATTTAACAGATCTCATTGCATGTAGCGCTCACTAAAATATTCGTCTTATTGGTTTAAATCTCTATTCAATTAGAACTTTGAATTAAAAAAAAAATTCTTTGTTTAGTTGGACGACTACTGTTTATTCTAAGAAAATTTACATTCTATAAAATTCTCTAATATGTCAGCATCTAATACTCCAAAGTATATTAATTAATTTTTAACTAATAATTAATAAATTAATATATATATATATATTTGTTCTTTTTATTAAATATAGTCGCATACGTCATACACCTAAAACAGCTCGTGCCTATGAGTCAAGTGATGGTGGCACGCCAAGTCCAGCACGTTTTCGTCCAAAACGTTATTGTGCTAATGAAACAAATGAAAAGTAAAGTTAAACAGAAAACAAAATGATATATTTTTTTTTTCCCTATATCAAGAATTTCTTTGTTAAGTTCACCACGACGAAATAAATATCATCCATATTCAGCTCCAATACATTTCGATGAAAATGCTAATGATCCATTTCATGATGAAAATCAACGGTATAAAAAACATATATATTTACATTCAAACGATAAAAAAAAACCAGAATATGAATAGCATCTCAGCAATTCAAGACCACATTTCAGCGATTTTTGTGAAATTGATGACCGTAGAGTAATTACTGAAGAAAAAAGATTAAAGATGCTTGTGAAAATGAGCCAGGATTAAATGTTTGGTTTATTGTACAAGCTTGCTCATTACTATATACCGGATTATGACGGAATATTTCTTATTAAAGTGCAATTTATTTAATAGTTCTATGAAAAAGAGTTACGTAGACTGAACACTTGATCCCAGCTCATTTTTTTCAAGCATCCTTAACTTTCTCCATCGATTTTCGACAGTACTGTTTCCATAAAATCATCAGAATGTACTGCTAATGTAATGTTTACTTTTTCTAAATTCAATTTTTAGTTACTATTGTACAAAGCTGACTTATTCAAATTTGACTATGAATAAAAAATTTGAGATCCTACCCCTATGAGAAATCTATTTTTGCCCCAAAAATAACCAATCTGACTGAGAATATGTCCGAGTCTTAATAGCTTACACAAGATATAAAGCTATCATAACACCAAAGGTGAAAAAGTAGATCTGTGCAAGACAAGAATTTCTTTTCGAAATCTAATAATATAGATTTCGGAGTGGTTTTAAAATACAGCCTTTTCTATTCAATTTAAAACTTTCTCAAGTTTTCTAACATATAAAACGATCGAGAAATCGTTGACAAAGGAGATATTCATGTTTGTTTTGTTATCGTTCGAACTTTTGAAATATTCTGTATTTATATATATTTAAAATTTCTTTTTTTTTGTGTTTTTATTTATACAATAGAACATCAAGTAAACCATCAACACCAAATAATCGTCCGAATAGACTTAATATAAAAAATGAAGAAAGACCAAGAACACCAAAACCTAGGTGGAGAGAAATTTAATTTTGTTTTTTTTTTTGTAATATTTTTTTTTCTGATAGTTTTGAAGAAGAACAACAAGAATTACAAAAATCTTTATCAAAAGATTGGTGTGATAAAATGGATAATGAAGAAGCTGAAGAAAAAAAATTACATAGGTAAAACAAAAGAACGAAAGGATTAATTTTAAAATAAAATTTACAAGTTATTTTTTTTTTGTTTTTTAATCTATATAGTTTTATACTTTATTTAAAACAATTTTCTGTTCATGAAAATAAAACAACTGAAGAAATTCTTTCATCTATTGAATGTTGTCCAAAAGGTTAAAATTTTATATATATATATATATGAATCATTAATAAATTATTCTTTATCTTTTATTTTATATAGAACTTTTACGACGACAGAAAGAAATAAGTAAAGGAAAATTATCTAAAGCATATCAATCATATACATCAGCTATACCACGGTAGATTATCTTGTGTTTTTGTTGTTCTTCGTCTTACGTTTAGTTGTAACTTGAATTTTTATTTTTATTTTTTTTTAATGTAATAAAGAAAATCTCGTACAAGACAACATCCACGTACACCATGCAAATATGCAAAAATGTCTCGACGTGGTTTCGATGGAGCTATTAAAGCATGGCGTCGAAAACTTCATGAATTTGGCACAGATAAGTATGTTATTTAAAGAGAAACAATTAATGTTTAAGAATTTCAAAAAGAAAATTATTTGTTTTTGTTTTTTTTTTTGTAAATAATACAAATCTATTATTTAGAACAAAAGAAAATGGTAGTAATAATAATAATGATGATGATTCAATATCATTATCATCATCTCAACGTAGTGATGGTTATTCAACACCTTCATCAACATCAATGAATATGGAAGATATTGATGAAAATTTTCTACCAGATTTATATGATTTTGAAGAATCACTTACAATTAATCCAAATAATGAAAATAAATATAGTTCAGTTATTGATTTAGATGTAGCTGATTCAATGGATACAATTGTTAATAATGTTGATTCACGTTCAGCTATGGCATTAGATTAAATAAAGAAAATAAGAAAAATCTAAATAAACATGATTATTATTTTTGTTGTTGTTAGTGTTATTGTTATCTTCTAATTTCATATATTTACTCGTGTTCATTCGCATCGAATGAGAAAAGTTAAACTCGTCAGATATTTTTCTTCTCTTCATTCGTTACTACATATTTTTTTTTTTTGTGGTGACTGTCAGATATATATATATATATATATGTATACAAAAGTACGTTGTTTGGATTGCTCTATATATATTTTTTTTGTATTTGTGTGCTGATATTCTTCTTTGTATATTTTTTTTTCTCTGGTCGACTTAACATTTAGCTAGTAGATTATAAGAAGAAAAAAAAAATAGAACAACAAAAACAATTAAGATCAGCGATGCTTTATTGTGCATTAGCTTATTATATTGAAATATCCTTTCTCGAAAATATAAATCATTTTTGTTCTTGTTTCATTTGCAGATTTAGTATTTCTGAAAAAGAAGAATGATTCATAGTCTATTTATTATTAACGGATCAGGGTAAATATTAGCATTCTTATCAAAAGTTTAATAATGTTCATATTAATCTTTTGTTTTTTTTTTGCGGCACTTTTTTTAGAGATGTTTTTATGGAAAAACATTGGAAAACAGTAGTAGGAAAATCAATATGCGATTATTTTTTTGAAGCTCAATCTAAGGTAAATTGAATTTTCTTTCTAGCATCTAAAATAAATATTTTTTAAATGTAGTGTGCCAATTCAGAAGATGTTCCACCTGTTATTGCCACACCTCATCATTATTTAATAAATATATTTCGCAATAGTCTCTATTTTGTTGCTGTACTCACCAACGAAAGTAAGCTAGTATTTCGAATATTTTTTTTCAAATGTGAAATTTCGTCAATATATATGAGTACTAAACACCAATTGATCCTATTTATGATTCCATAAACTTTTGAGACAAAAAAAGTCTATGACAAACTGAATATCTGTCTCAACAACATATTTTGGAATTCAAACTTTGCACAAATAATATTTTTGAAAAGAATAGTTCATTGTGTCTGAGTCAGATCAAGTCACTTCTTTTTGAAAAACTTGCTAAAATGTTTATAGCTAAAGAAGAAAGATTAATGGGTATAAGTCTTTTTACGAAGGAATGTTTTCAACTAATCAATCGTTTTCTTACTAAAAGTTACTGGATGATGAATTATCGATTATGGTGGCTCCGAAGTCTTTGCATACTAGTTTTCTAGAAAACCAGTATATGAAGGGATCAACATGGTCAATAACCTGTAGTTCAATAGCTTTCGTTAAAAAACCGATCGACCAACTAAAAAAACCTCCCTTGTTAAATTTTTATCTAATTTCAATAGAGCTTTCTTAATAATATAAAATTCATAATGAAAACTGATTTATCATTTAGCGAGATTCCCTCTTAAGCTCAAAAAATAATCGTCGGAGTCCATTCGTTTCTAACGGTATAGTATTATAACAATATATCATCATGTTTGAAATATATTTTTAGTTGCACCACTTTTTGTCATTGAATTTCTTCATCGTATAATGGATGTATTTGAAGATTATTTTGGTGAATGTACAGAAACATCACTCAAAGATAACTATGTTATTGTTTATGAAGTAAAAAAAAAAGAAATTTTTTTGTTCGTGTTTTATTTTTTATTAATATAATAGCTCTTGGATGAAATGCTTGATTCTGGTTTACCATTAGCAACAGAAACAAATATATTAAAAGAACTTATTAAACCACCAAATATATTTCGTAAAGTTGCAAATCTTGTTACCGGCGATAATACAAAGTAAGTCAAAAATTATTTGCATACTTTTTTTTTCAGTTTTAGCATTAATAATACAAAATATTAAAACAAAAAAAAAGCAGATAGACAATAGACTTAAAATTTCTTCTTCTAGCATTAGTAATACACTTCCATCTAGTCAATTATCAAATATTCCATGGCGTCGTATGGGTGTTAAATATACAAATAACGAAGCTTATTTTGATTTAATTGAAGAAATTGATGCTATTATTGATCGTAATGGAACTACAATTATGTGTGAAATTCAAGGATATGTAAGTGAATATATAGTTATGGTTATTGTGCGATGTCAAACAAAAAGAAAGAAAAGTATTTTTATTAATAAGAAAAATTCTAAAAAAAAAACGGGTTGAAGTATTCATTTGAAATACAGGAGTCTTTTTTTTTGTCTTATTAAATATTAGTGTTGTAATGGCACGTGAGGATGCAAAAAAAATATCTGTTGGAATGGAAACAGGTATCACATGGCGTCAATTAGGAATAAAACATCGAACAACAAATGAAGTTTTGTTGGATATTATTGAAACACTTGATGCCATTGTTGATCAACGAGGAATAATTATCACTGCTGAAATCAGTGGTGTGGTACGAATATATGCATATACATAATGCTAAATCATTAGAAAAGATTATGTAGATTGTTTTTTTTTTGCTATATGCACATTTTGATTGATTTTTCAAGTTTTATATTTGGAAAAATTTGTTTGACTATGTTCGTTTTTTTGTTTGTTTATGTATTTAGATTGATTGTTGTGTTAAATTAAGTGGTATGCCTGATTTAACATTATCATTTGTTAATCCACGATTATTGGATGATGTTAGTTTTCATCCATGTGTAAGATTAAAAAAATGGGAGGTATGTTTTTTATTTAAATTTATTTGTTTTCTGAATGATTTAATATTTTGTTTTTTTTTTTTATTTTCTAAGAGTGAACGTGTTCTTTCATTTATTCCACCTGATGGAAATTTTCGTTTAATTTCATATCATATTGGTTCACAAAAGTAAGTTATTTGATATCATATTGTACAAGGTGTTAGAAAAATTATCTATCATAAGCACGTGACAGAGTGTGAATGAGTACGTTCTTTCTCATGATGTACACTAATGTTGTTTTCGTTAGTTTAAAATGTCAACGAATAGGCCTACACAAACTGGTTTTATGATATTTTTTGTATCGACGTTTTTTTAATGAGTCAAGAACAATTTATTTTGACAAAAAAAGAACGTATATGTTACTCAAGATTTTTCAAGTAGCATGAAAATATTTTTGTAAAGTATGAGAAGAAAACTTTGATAGCGACAAGTTCAGAGTTACGAAAACAAAAAAAAGAAAAGGTATAGTTTTCAGTATTTATAAACTTTAAATTTATGAATAAAAACTTGCAAAACTCTTCTATGAACATAGGAAAAATTGAGTCAGTTGATTTGATTTAATCGCATTACAACAGATTTGTTAGTTTCCTTTTTTAGTTAGCGACTTTTCCGGACATCCTATATTTTTTCTCTATCAACAGATGTCAATTTTAGTAAGTTAATTACTATCGTATGCTAGAAATTTACAAAGCTTTTTCTTGAAGAAGTGTGTTGAGTAGGGGAAATCAGACTTGTCAATAATTTTTTATTTATAGAAATTATAAAACTATCTTAAATGGAAGTTTTACTTATCGTGATGGTCAAACCGATCATCTACATGTAGTATGTTGTGAATATTCATACATTGATTAGAATAAAAAAAAAACAAATAAAATCTCAGAAAACATAGTTTTGATAGATTCGTAGGATTTTGATCTAAAGAATATTCAAAAAGTCTTCTATATATTACATACATTGTTCAATTTGAATTGTAATAGACCTAATCATTCATGTTTTTCATTCTACACGGAATATATATATATATATAAATAAAATTACATCATAGTAATATCTAAAATAAACTACATAATTTAAATGTAATTTTCAATTGATTTTATAGTACAATATCCATTCCAATTTATGTTAAACACAATATTCAATTTCGTGAAGGTAGTAATGGTCGATTTGAATTAACTGTTGGACCAAAACAAACAATGGGCAAAACTGTTCGTATTTATATTTTTGCTAAAATTATTTTCTTATTGAATTTTTTGTTTTTGTAGCTTGAATCTGTTGTTATTGAATGTGCAATGCCAAAAAGTGTACTTAATTGTACTTTAACTCCTACACAAGGCAAATCTACATTTGATCCTGTAAAGAAAAATCTTGTTTGGGATATAGGTAAAATTGAAAGTAATACTCAAAATACTACACGTTTACCATCATTACGTGGAAATATTGTTTTATCAACTGGTCAACCAATACCTGAATCTAATCCAATATTAAATGTACGTTTTACATTAAATCAAATAGCTATATCAGGTATACGTGTACAACGTGTTGATATGCATGGAGAAAAATATAAACCATTTAAAGGTGTTAAATATATAACAACAGTTAAAAAAGGTCGATTTCAAATTCGAACATAATTTTATTTAGTTATTTATTTCTTTTTTTTGAAATTATTTGTGCAATAGAAAACGACGAAAAACAAAAAAAAAAGAATTTTTATGAATATTATTCTGCATTTTATGATTTGATTTTTTTCTTTCGTTTATTTGTATTGATGTTGTCTTTTAGTTTCAATTGATAATTAAACAAAACAATAAAACAAAAAAAAAAAAAAATCAAAGTTCAGAAATTAATCGATACTTTTTGTTTCTAGATTTAACAAAAAAAAAAAACCAAAATATAAAAATGGGTAAACGAGGTCGTAAACCAATGAAAAGTGATTCAAATACACGATTAGAAAAAAGTCGTGAAAGTGCTCGACAATGTCGTCATAGAAAAAAACTTCGTTATGAATATTTAGAAGAACTTGTTACTGATCGAGAAAAGGCTATTATACAATTACAACAAGAATTGGAACGTATTCGTACAATTTGTCAATATTTAGATCAAAATGGAATTAATAATGAAATACGTCAAGAATTAACACAATGGACAGATGATCCTGAAATTGCTACTTTAATTAAATAAACAAAAAAACAATATATATTTATTTCTTCAAGCAAAACATTAAAAAATACTTTATCATTTTTCTCACTTTTTTTTCTTATCTTATGTATAGCGTTGCGTCAAATTCATCCCGGTTGGTTTTGTATTCTTATCTTTCCTTTCTCTGTTTTCTGAAACAGTGAACCGAAATGTGCAATAAATGCACAAACGGTATTAAAATAAATAATAATTCAGAATATGTAAAATTGTTTTGTTTTTTATTTTATTTTTCTAAGAAATTTCAGATTATTCTTTCTATTGAGAATGACGATATTTTAAATTAGCTATAGAGAATCTGCTCATAGATTGAAGTCACACCCTTCAGAAGTGTACGCCGATCAATGCATTGACTTAGACTTCGAAGCAATACTCCCAAGAAAAAGTGATCTAGAGTGTAAAAATCAAGAAAAAAAAGCTTGCTTGTCCTAAAGAAGATTCCGCTATTAGGCTTTTAGTTACGGAAATTAATCTTACTAATTTCAGCTTTTGTTACGATTAAACATGAACTTGAGATGATAGATATGAGAGAAAATATTGTCTTAATTCAATACGAGTAAATACTTTTAAACATTAAGTTAATTCCTATATAGTAAAAGAATTATTAGAATTAACGAGAGAAGGTTCTCAACTATGGAATGCTGACTGAGCTTATAGTTTGTCCGTATATGGAACTCAGTAAGACTAGTAAAAACCAAAAAGAATTTGCGCCTTTTGTAGTTACAACCGTTGTATTGAATTTTCGACTTCACGCAAACCAGCTGGTCAAAGATCGTAAGGCATCAGTTCTATCTGAAGTTTTGTTCATAAGGAGGTTGCGCCGTTATTTGATTGTTCTGAATGCTTCTCTTGAAAAGTATGATTTCTTATTTGAGTTATTCAATGATCAAAACAGTTGATGTTCTAACCTTTTCTGTATGAAAAATGACAGTTTCTTGATCATTAGATACTTCACAAAGAAATCGTACTTTTCAAAGGAAACTTTCAAAGCAATCTAATAACGAAGAGACCTATTCATGGACAATATTTCAGATCGAACTGGTGTCTTACGATCTTTGGCCAGCAGATGTGTACGAGATTTAAAATTCAATAGAACAATCACAACTCCAAAAGGCACAAATTTCTTTAGGTTTCAACTAGTCTCACTGAATTCTATATACGGGCAAACTATGAGCTCAATTGATATCCGACACTCGGAATCGTTTTTTTGTAAGCATTATGAAATTAGTATAAAGTGTTAAATATAATTATTTTGTATATTAGTAAAAGAAACTTCTCTAGATGGTGATCATTAAGATAGTATAATTTAACCGTTGAGAATGAAAATCAATTCGCCATTAAAATATTACAATTAGATATTGTAAAAATTATTTGTGTCGTCAAATTTTGTTCTAACACCGACATTAGAATATAATAAGTTTTTAAACATTTACAATGAATATAAAATGTTCATACAATTGGTTCGTTTCACAGCAAAAATAATTAGAAGACTCTCTGTAAGATTAATATTAGATATATGAAAGACAAATGGAATTTATATAAGAGGGCTGTGAAAACTCCAAATTTCTTCTTAGAAATAAAATGAGTTCGTTTCATATTTGTTCTTAACAACTAAAGCTGAAAGAACAAAAAGCATTTCGTAAAAGCATTGCTTATATTCGTTTTTTCTTTTCATAGATTATTTTCTATTTTTCAGATAACAGAAAAAAAGTTATCATGGTACGAAAATTACGTTTTCACGAGCGTAAATTATTAAAAAAAGTTGATTTTATCAATTGGGAAGTTGATAAAAATTTACATGAAGTAACTGTTATGCGTAAATTTCATATACAAAAACGTGAAGATTATACAAAATATAATGATTTATCACGAAGAATACGTGAATTAGCTCGTAAAATTAAAGAATTAGATGCTAATGATCCATTTCGAATAGAAGCAACACGTACATTATTAGAAAAATTGTAAGAAAGAAAAAAAAAACAAATAAGATTTATTTATTTTTTTAAATATTCTTATTTCAAAGACATTCACTTGGTTTAACACCAACAAAAGAAAATCTTGAATTAGTTGATAAAATAACTGCTAGTCGATTTTGTCGACGTCGTTTACCTGTTGTTATGACACGTAATCATATGGCACAACATTTACCAGGAGCAGTTAAATTTATTGAGCAAGGACATATTCGTATTGGACCTGATATTGTTACCGATCCAGCATTTCTTGTTACGAGGTAAATAAGTGTTTGTTTGTTTTTTTTTTATTTTAAAAACTATATGAAAATTTTTTTCTTCTTTTCAATTCTAGAAATACAGAAGATTTTATTTCATGGACTGATAATTCAGCAATACGAAGACAATTATTAGAATATCAAGATATGGTATTTAGAATTTTCTTCTTCTCTTTTTTTTTGTAAATTAATTATTTTTTTGTTTGTTTTTTTTTAGGAAACTGAAATTGTTTAATTCTCTGTTTTGTTATTACAAATAAAAATAAGAAAAAATTCTGTTGAAATTGTTTTTGTTTTGTTCGAACATATTGTTCTTATTTGAACATCAAATAATCAAACAAATCTAATTGTATTATTGATATGATATCATAACGTTAATTAAAATTTTTATCGAACTATAAAAAAAAGAATTTATAATTCATCTAAAATTGAATATCAGCGAACTTTTTCACAAATAATGATTTGAGATATATGCAAATCTATTTAATTTCTTTTTTTTAATGTTATTCTTTCTAAACACTAAAAAAAACTAAAAAGTCTTTATCAATCATAAACAAGAATATTATTTGAATAATTTAATTCTTCGATATTTATCATTTAGTAGTATTAATATGTTTGTAAAAGTGAAGGTAATTTTGTCTAAGTAATAATATAGTATTATTTATATTTGATTTCAATAGGAAAATATCTCTTTTCGTAGTTTCAGTCTAAAGGTATTATTGAGAATAAAACTGACTTTTTTATTTTTAAAACAAATCTTTATAATCTTAGTTGCTATTATATTAACTTTATTCACTAAATAAATACAAAAAAAAAACAAAACAAAACAAAAAAATCAATATAAATATTTCAACGACTGTTCTTATATGAAGTTATGGTAATTTTCATGAAGCTTTATAATATTTACATTTTCGTTTGATTACTAGTAGGAAAAAAAACCTAGAAACAGAAAAAAAAGTATAGTAATGGATTTTGCCTACGAAATTAATGTTAAATATAAGATTTCTTATCGATTTCTGAAATTTATTCATATTTTGTAATTTCAATTACACAATACTCTTTGAGAATGTAATTCATATTTCAAATTTGAGTTCGAATGTTTCTAGAGTAAATCAAGTATAATTAAAGAACTATGTCAAATTTAAAACATGTATAATACTATTACTTTATATTGCGCATTATTATAGAAAGTATAGTAATAATTTAATATAAATCGACTAATTTGTTTTTGACGAATTTTTCTATATTGTCTATGTTGAAATCGATATTATTTGGAGTCTTTAGCAAGATTGACTGCAATAATAAAACACAGCAAACTATTATTTGATTTAACTGTAAGAATGACAGAAAATTGATTTACTATATCTTCAACATAATTAGTACTGGTGTTTTTACGAATATATGTAACCATGTATATATTTCTATGGTCTCTAATATAAAGACTAACACATCGAAAACAAAATTCAACATATATTATTTTTCGATGTAACTATATTTCTATGTTATGAAATAGTACGATTATGAATGATACAATAAATATATGTATAAAATATATTCCAAATTTGAGTTATATATATATATGTTTGAATGATAATAAAGTAATTCATCTAAATAGACGTTTACAATCCACAATATACATTAAGTTATTATTGTCAATATTATTTCATAAAATATTTACAAGAATAAGTTGAGACACTTAACTCAGCATTAAGATAAAAATTATCGTTTTATAAGAAAAACAGAAGTTCAAACTTCATAATACTTCAAATAATATTTTATCAATATTTATTAACAATAAAGATTTTAATTCGAAACATTAAAATATTTTTCATAAAAGATATTCATCTTCTATTGATTGATCAATCGAATATTTAATTCAGAAAATTAAGTAAGATTTATTTTCATGTTCTTCATCAAAAAAAAAACCCAGCATTTCGTATCAAAGAAAACTGAATATAAGTATGATGAAATTCGATTAAAATTGATTACAATTTTATTATTACATATAGCAAAATAAATGAAAATTTATCAAAGATTGTATCTAAAAAATGAACCGGTGATGGATCGGAACAAATAATTTCCTTTTTCTTTTTTTTTTCTTACATCAAAACTAAAATTGTTTACTTCTATTCAACAAATATTTGAACAGTCTTTTAAATTCTCTTTTTTTCTTTCATTTATCTAAAAACAATTTTACTCGCAATTTAA